TTGGAAAAAACCCTCTCTTTGTATTTCTTTTGCATTTTTAGTAGAATAAATACGGAATTTAAGCAAATTAAATCATACAAGAGAGGAGATCTCTTACATCATAGTATGGCAGCTTAAAGTAAGTCGTTAATTAGAGGCTATAGCCACACCTCAGTGAAGATTGCGGGTCTAAAATTATAGAGAAATACAATTAACACTAATAAAAGTTTGGGAGAACTCGAAAAAGCTGTGGAAACACTAGCCAGTCGGCTCGTGTTCCCCACGGCGCAGCATTTCTCGTTCTCCCACTGGTGGGAGAATTTCTATATCTCGCCCGAAAACACGTACATGTTTACTATTTCTTAAGTAAAAATCTGTAAAAAGTAAAAAAATGCGGAAACTATGTAAAATATATAAAAATAAAAAGGGACAAACACGAATAAGAATTGAAACGAATAAAAAGATCTAATGAGCGAGTTTTATTGTACTAATAAGGGTCTCCCTAGGTATGCTTAAACAACAATTACGTCATTTCTCTTTTTCTCAGTCGCACATTCATTGATATTTGTTTTGTTTCACGTCGTTTTCGGCAGGTCAGCCTTGGTAACCGTGAACACCTGAGCGACATTGACATCCAGCAGATGAACTTGCTGTACAAATGTTCTGGAGGTGGTGGCGGCGGTGGAGGTGGAAGTAGGCCTAAACCACCCCCTCCAACAGGTTTGGTTACTTTGATAAATGCCATATTACATTAGTCAGTTACGGTCTGTAATCTCAGATTGCTGTGGGACATGATGATATCTTGAAAAGAACGTGTTACGTCCTCCTTACTTTATCTCTTTTAGATTGCCAAGACACTGGAAAATATTGTGGTTATCATGTTCCCCGAGGGGATTGTAAGAGGATGCAAATTGTAAGAGAGAGGTGTAAGAAAAGCTGTGGTTTGTGCTAAAACCAACCGCATGGGCGAGGTGAGTCCTTGCGTAAACACTTTGTTCAACGTAGAACCTAAAGAGCCTGATTTAAGACTAAATACGTTTGGCTTTATCAAGTTTAGGACAAAGAAAATGTCAAATGTCGCTGTTTATTATCCAAAAAAAAACAATACCTGACTGTTTAGTTTCGAGACTACGATAAAGAAATATCTATATGATTTTAATTCCCTAGAGGAAACAAGTCTATTGTAGGGACCTTCCAACTAGACCACGAGTAGTGTCCCTCTTTCGCTAGGTCCGTCGTGCGTGACGTGAAAAAAAAAAACGCGGGGAAAAATGTCCGCGCGAAACCCTAGGGCCTAGAAACGCGCAAAAAACATCGCTAGCTGGGCCTGTAGACGCCGTCAAGAGATGATGAAGGATAAGGCGGATCTTGACGCTGTGTTGATCACTGCTTTATGATGTTACCAAAGCATCCAAAAATCACAATCATTGTTCTTTATACTTTAGCTAATTGCAGCCAAGTCGTTAGGAGTAATTGTTCAATGTTAGACAGCCTTAAGAAGATCGCCCTAATTTTGAACCCCTTAACACTTTAAGCCAGCTGCAGTTGATTTCGTGTTCTTAAGCCAACCAAAACCCTTATCTTTATACCTTTTTTTAGGTTGGCCAGGGAACACATGCACTTCTCAAAGAATTGTAAAATGATGAGGAAATGATTAACTTTAAGCTTAAAACCCGATGTAGTCATGATTAGTAAATAAAGGAGTGTCGCACATAATTATGCTATCGGGCTTATTTTTCAGCGTTCATTGAGAGTACTTAAGGACGGTGCCTACTAAATATAAAGGTTTTTGCGCCAGGTTAGGACCATGCGGAAGAAAATGGATCTTTACAAGGGCTATTGGAATCCACAAAGAAAAACTGGGGTAGCCATGCCTTTTTTCGAGATAAGAAGTCTTGAATCTCAACAAAAATGCTGACATCAGCATTTTTCTGAAAAAGAAGGAAAGGATATT